AGGGGCTCCAACCACGACGCTTTCCAGCCTTTTCGTCCCGCTGCGCGTCTTACAGCTCCTTCCGTGTCTCCCTTACAAGACCGCTCTTTTCCGAAGGGTCGTAATTACCGTGTTACAAAGCAAAACAAAAAAGACGAGACTTTGAGATGAAAACCTTCTGCAACGCATGGTCTCAACTGAGAAGCAAGTGTTTGGAAAAAAGAAAGTTCAAATTTTTGTTCCATGAACAATAACAAACTATTCAGAGCTAAATTTAAGACACTTTTTGAAAGATGTGGCATATAACTATGTCAAAGATGCATTTAAAAATAATCTTTGGCAAATAATTAGTCCACACTGTGGTGTAATGGATTTGAGCACTACACCCCCCCACCCATCCTACCCCCCCCAAACCCCACAACAGCATGTGCAAAACATTTAAAAGTGGCACCTGCACAGTGCAGTATTTACGTTCAGTAAGCGCTAGCTGTACGCGCCGGGAAGCTGGGCCACGCGCTCAACACACCCCTCGCCAGCGGCGGGCGCGCGCACCGGCGCGTCCAGCGGCAGAGAGCTATTCCAGTCTCAGTTAATCAATGTCTATAAAAAAAACAGGTTTCAGCTGTCAGAGTATGCTTTTTATCAGATGTCTGGAATAGCTCCACAGTCAAAATCTTCTACAACAGTCTTTGGAGAGGGAGGGTAAATAAAAATCAAATTCAGTCAGTCTTTTCGTAGAATAATATATGAAGCTGACGTCTTGCTACCCCAAAAAGGGAAATACATTAGCATATACATTCAAGACAAAACATTGGGCCCTGCCCAGCTTTCTTACCTTGCAAGTCCTATTTTTTTAAAAAGCACGGTCACAGTCGGCAAAGCTGCATCCTGCAGAAAGGATCAACGTTCTGCAGCAAACGTGTGCTCCCTTCTTTATTTGTTCTTTTTACAAAGGCAAAAGTAGTATTTCTAAGTTCAGGATCTACTAGACACCCAAAGACAAAAGTTTAATCTTTCTGCTTTAGACGGCACCAAGACAGTCAGGAAATTTAAACAGAAGGTGTGTTAACACTACGCAACACAGATTGCAGCAGTAGGGCAGCTCTGCCATCACTGTGGCTTTGCAGTTCCAAGGTTACAGCCTTACGACTAAGAGCAGGCTACAGAGAAAGGGTTTCCTTCTATTTTCTAAAACTTTTCTCTGTCCAGAATGAGCTTTTATAAAGGGCTCCTGTGGAGCTCGAACTGAGTGGAATGCAATGTCCACAGATTTCAACTCAAGGAAAAAGTCTTTTGCAGTAATAGCCCTGAAGAGCTGCATGGAACAATTGTCACTGCGTTTTATCTTTTAATCTTCATCTGACAGTCTCTGATTTCAGCAGACCAGCTTTAGCATTTCACATATTACCACCATTCAACTTGATGGCAATAGCCAAAGGCTTCTACATTAAGCAAATCTGCTAATGTTGTTCAGACTAAAGCGCAGCCATTGCCACTAACTGTTTAATTAAATTCAAATGGAACCATAAAAATTCCTGTTTAGGCAAGATATACTATACCTCATTAAAACATCCCAAATCAGCTTCTAAACAACAGGACTGCAATTCTAACGGATTATCAACTTGTCTGATGAGTACGAGATCCTGTGGGGCTCAGGCTGTTTGTCTGCAATACCATGCTTCATAATTAAGACAAAATAAACTATCCATACCTAAGACCTTAAAGGCCAGAAGGTACGGACGTTTCTTACACAGGAGAACTAAGGAACGAAACAGAACAAAATTGTTGTGGACACCCAAAACCCAAACATCAAGTTTTAAAATATCTGTCAACTCTGACAATGTTCCTTAACTACTGACGTAGTTTTTCATAGCTGACGATACCAAGATAGCCTCTTGATACAACACTGAGATGTGTCTTGTAAACAAGTATGCATTAAAAAAGGAAGAGGTTAAATTGTATAGTAAAACATGAGTACATAGAAAAAATGCTATAAAACAGTAGCAAAAAAGTAACTAAAAAGATATATGAATAAAACATGGATAGCCAGTGGACTGTCCTAACTGTAGGCTTCTCAACTCAGCACTAGAAAAATGCTACAGAAGTGGATCAGAACTCTGCATTTCAGTTCGCCTGAGAAATGTTATCAATGTGACAGTCTAGCTCTTTTATCCAATCTCAATTTGCAGAAGTTCTTGCATGGAAGTTGAAATCATGAGGGAGTCTTCCTACGTTCAACAACAATTGCATTTTTAAAAGTTGTGTAAAGGAAGATACACACATAAGCAGCCTTCCCTGGGGTTAAAATGAACACTATAAAACCCAAAAACAATCTATTTGCTAGATATCTGAGGTTGAAACATATCAAAAGGAGAAATTATCCCAGACAAACCACTGAATAGCCAAAGCCTTTCATAATATAATGCATGCTCCATTATGCCAAAGATTGCATGGATACTGAAGGATACTTGGACACTAAGCAAATACAATGAATTCTCAAATTCAAGGAATTTCATTACTTCCTGACCTATTGCAAAATACTTCAGTGTGCCAAAGATAGTGCATAGGAATAACATTCAGCAGACACTGCTGAAGACCATTTTTCTGAAACAACGATCTACACTTAAGCTGCTGTTAAGGAAAACACTTTCCTCCATCACCTCCATTATTAGCATTATATTCTCTGAAAACAGGTAGAGACAGAACAAGTATGGTTCTATAACCATAGGGTACTATTGACACATTTCTGCTTTCCATGGAGATTGCCTCTGCTAGCAGCACATGTTGCTAGTGGCATCCTGCAGTTCCGGACCTCAGAAAAAGCCAGATATGGCACATGGACAGCAACAGCAGCACAAGCTTTTCAACTCTGCAATACTATTATAAAGCAGCAGCAACAAGGAAAAGAGATTTCCAGAAGCAAGATGTTCAGCTTCCATGCTCATCCAGTCTAATTCTACCATCACCTATGAATTAACCATCACAATGCAAAAAGTATAAAGCATTCAAGAATACCATGGCTACTTCAACAACATGAAATTTAATGTAATAAAATGTTTTGGTAATGCTACACTACTAACTTTTTTAAACACGGTACTATACCCTAATTACAAAC